AAAATCATGAAGCACTGCTTAAACTAGAATGATTTCCAGCACACTTTCTCAGTACTGCTGTTTTAAAGGTGGTTTAAAAAGTATAGGAGATAAGTTTGCCAAAAGAATCAGGTTCAACTGAGAAAATATGTACACTGCTTTGACTCAGTAAACTCATACTTGGTATGGTTCATCTTCTTCATATTTACTTTTGCCCATATTAGAAAACAATTAGCTTACTAAACAAATTTGAGTATTTGGGATAAAAAAATCTACTTTGAGTCTCTCTCATTTGACTAAGAATTACATGATATTTGATAAGCTTGTTTAAAAATGGACATATCCAAATATTATTGTAAACACCCATTGATTTGTTTTACCTGCAATATAAGTATTTTACTTAGTTGGCTTACATAGTAGCTAATAATATTTGTTAATGTAATTTAACTGCTGTGAACCTTTACTGAACAAATATTGAAATTTATACAAGTCAAAGAAAGAGAATCTCTAATGACTTTTGTAAAAGCTTCCATTTAATAGTTAAGGAGAAAAGTTTATATGACATACCAGATGCAATTAACAGTAGATTTTACATTTAATAAAAAGAAAGAAGCATATGTATTTGCTTTATTCATTCCATCATAATTTGCATTAGAGCTGTGGGTGTTTAATGAGCAAATTCCAGCTAAAATGCTATATTGATTTTCTAAGTGAACTTTGTAATAGCTATCTACCTTACAAAAGCTCTCTGTTTACAATTGTTTTCTTTACTAAAAACTAAAAATGTTTTAGAATTGATGAGTTTAGCATAATGATTCTTTTAAAATAAAGAGCTCTTTTAGAGTATGCAGGGATTTTAGTTACAAGGAGAAAGATGTTATTAAATTATTCCCAAAAAATAAAGCTTATACAACTAAATAGTAGTGCTGTGCTTCTATATACTACAATATTTGCAAGCATGGGAAAATAATCCTCTTTTTAAATTAAGTTCTCTGAGATTTAAATATTTTAACTCTTGAATGCCATCAGATATGTATGACTTAGTAAATGACACAATTCATTTTAGCTTAATACTAGACTACTCATACTTCATTTCTGTGTATCATTTTCTTACTTGAAATATGATTTCTGTACAAATTTTTGTTTCTTCTTGGTCAGGCCTCAAGATAGGGAGGATAGGTGTGGTTGGTATGCCAACTAGAAGTTCTCCAAGGAAAACCTTGTAATGGTGACCAGAGCAGTTGGTGAAAAAGTAGCTGGATCTGTTTTTTCTTTGGATCAGACACCAAGTCAGTGTGGCAGTATGAAGTTAGTATTTTTCTGGATATGTCATATCTTGAATGGAATTTAGAAGCATGACTTGGTGTTACTCTCGATCAGTTTTCACCTCACATTTCAAAGAAGCATAGGATGATAATCTGCATAATTTTTACTCTTTCTAATATGAAGGAATTTCATGTCACTCTTTCATAGACTCTAACTGGACAGCTTATACAACACTCATTTTCCTAGATATGGCACAAAATGTTTTGCTTTGCTGCTGCATTGAGACCTAAATTTTTATGCATTATACTTATTTCAAGCACGCTGTGGTCCTTATGGTCCTTAACTTCTACTTGTGACTCATCCATAGCTCAGTGTGACTGGGGAATGTTCAGATTACCTGCAATCATGTGACTTTCATAAGATTCCCTAGAGAAGGAAAAAAGGAATTCATAAAATGTTAAATAGGAGTCAGAAATGTATAGCCATTGGGTAACAAAAACATCAAACCTAAATTCAGCTTTGGCTGGTGAAGAGATCAGGTGACTTGGTCTTCTGTAGACCATTAAAATGAGTTAGATGAGGTCTTTAAGTATTTTTTAAATAATTTATTTTGGAAGTGTCAGTATAGCTATGTTGTATTAACATGCCATGTATCTATGTATCTTTTTCTTTTTTAAACTTAGATTACTATGCAAGCATCTTACATGATTTTCTACATTTTCCCTAATCTGTTTTAGTATTAAACAGTTGACTTGCAATATTACTTTTATGAAACAGAACCAAAAGTCAAACACTTGTAATTGATATGGAATGACTTATATTTTTTTAATGCAGTTTTTAGATCTAGTCAGTGGGATATTTACACCAATGCTTTACTATAGTGGAAGGATAAGAAAACAAGAAGAAAGTTGCTCAATTAAAGTTACTTTTCATAGCTGATAGTTAAAAGACAGTGTTTTGTGATAGACTTTTGGGTGGGGGAAGGGTTCACTGTTCAAAGGCAATTAGCATCTGAGCTGCAGTCAATGGTGGCAAGAGTTCAGATAATCAGGATGCTTAAATAACTTGAAAAACATCTTTTTCTGAATGCTTTCATACTGTTACATGTACACTACTTTGGTTTAATGAATAAGAAGCAAAAATCTGGTTTTTAAAAGCCTGTGTAGTCATTATTATCACTGGCCATATTTATGCAGAGAGGGACTTAGATGTGCCAAAAGAGAGTCGCTCTATGTGTACATGTACGTTCAAGATCCATTGCAGGAGTCAACAAATTGGGGGTTTCATGCTGAGGTGAGGATGTTCCAAGGTCTGACAGAAGGGGTGCACTTGAACAGGTCAGAAAGAAGTTAGCTAAACTGGAAAATAATTAACCTCAGAACAGTAATAAGTGCCAGATCTTCAGTTATTTTAGACAACTTTCAGATCATTGCAGCAGTTGTTTTCAAGGTGAAAATATCCTAGTGTTTCCACTTGCAGCTTTATGGAGAGGGTTCTCTGTGAAGTGTCTCTGTTATGATGCTAGATACACTGACATAATTTACTGGAGAAACCATAGCAAACAAATAGATTTAGGTACTGATAGGTAATAATTACCGTACAGAATCAAACTGCTGTGTATTCCAGATCCAGTCAGGACATAGCAGTTGCACTGTAGTTTACCCAGGCAGTCATTGCTCTGGCACTAGTTTCCCTGCCATCACTGATCTCAGCAGTCAAAGTGGGAGTCTGCTGAGCTGAAATGCACAGCCTAGGTTACCTGCTATGGTTTTTTCTTGTCCTTGCTAAGCCACCTACTTTTGCAGATATCAGATGCATTCTCTGCAGGTGCTGCAAACTTATTGCTGGATACCAGCCAGTGCAAATGCAGTGTTACAGCTGCCTTAGTCCTTAGTTTTTCCATTCCACATCAAGCAAAGTTTTCTTGTTGCAAACAGGGGAAATAGATCTTCAAGGAAAAAAGACACTATTCTTCTGGATTCAAGAGAATATAATCTCTTATTTATTTATTCAAGAGAATATTAATCTCTTAATTCTCTAATTCAAGAGAATAAAGTTTTTGTTAATTTTTGCATACGTTTCAAATTCTGTGCTTCCGATGCTGAATTTTTTTTGCTGTTGTTGTTGGGACACAGCTGCTACAGCTCTGACCTGATGACTAGGCTTGTGACTCCTCTGCAGACTTTTTGTGAGGGGAGGGACTTCACTTTCACAAGTAACATTTAGCCTTTCCCTGTCTGATTTTGTGTAATGAGCTGTTAGCCTGTAACATTTTGCTAGGTCTGCAAAAAATGCTTCCTTACTCCTCAGTGACAGTCTTCTCCCCAGCTTGAGGACAAGAAGATTCCTTTTTCTTGGTACTAATAAAATGTATTTTGTGCCAGTAATATAGTTGCTACAAAAATGTTCTTCTGTGTTTCTATTATTTCATTCTGTAAAGAACAGTATAATGTTTCATTATATATTTCACTATGATTTTTTTTGTGCAATAGTGTACAGAGGTAAAGTAAGAGTAAAATAACAAATAAAGGCAAAAAAGTTGATCTCAATTTAGGTAAGAATGGAGGGACAAAAGCTCTAGGCTTTTAGCAAAAGGGAGGAAGTAAAGATGGAGGAAGTAAAGAGGGAGGAAGCCTTTCTTTGAGATCATAATGACTTAAGCAGTGGTTGAGATGGGAGCAGGTAGTTCTGTAGGGAGTAAGGAAGCCCAGCAGCAATGCCTTAATAGAGAAAGTTCTTGAGGAATAAACATCAAAATTTGAAAAACACTACAGTGTGATGTTAGGAGACTATGGCTATATCCCAGTTTGACAGACTAGAAGGGACAAGGAGGATGGAGAACCTATAGATCTCAACTGAGTTTTTTTGAGGTTCCAGTGAGAGAGAATATAGTCCTCTGTCTTGGAGTGACAGCAGTCTTACAGCATCCTGAAAGTCCCTAGACATTTTGAATGCATGGTTTTATGATGACTGTGAGGAGAGATTTGCAGTATTGCAGAGGGAAATGATGAAAGTATGAATAAAGATTTTAGTGGAGGCAGGGTCGAGGTAAGGATTCTGGCAGTGTGCCAGAGATGGTGTTAGACATATTGACAGGGGAGAGGCAGGGGGAAAATGTAAGCTCAGGATGAGGAATGACTTGAAGGTGTTAGTTTGCTCCTAAGGATAGACAGTAAATCTTAGTTTATTGGTACCTAATGCTCCAAGGTCCATGTATGCTGTAACAGATAATATAACAGTATATTACACAATAAAGTAAAGGCTTGGCAGAGAAGGAGAGATGCCAGCTGTGCCACTCTTGTGATACCAGAGACAGACTATAAAAATATTAGAATTTTTAATATCACTGTGCCACCCTGATAGGAAGCAGTCTGATGGTAGTAGTTTTAATGTACGATTACTTTTAACTCTGTGTCCTAGAAGAAACTTGCTAGTGTCTTGTATGATTCTGAGCTTTAAGAATTACTTTTCCATTAAGCAAGTATTCAGAACACCCAGCAAATCACTTTCTTTCCCTGTTAGATTTTATAGGGGTGAATTTGAAAACAAATAGCTTTATTTAATACCTTAAAGTATTGACTGTAACAATTAACAGCAAGTTAGTGTTGTGTGTAAGAAGTAATATAGACCTTATGCAGAATAATCCAAGGTCATCAAAGGAATGTTGATTTTAGGAGGGGGTGGCAAAGGCCAACATAAGTGCATCTAATAGTGCTTTTCCCTGTCAAACTTGTTTGTTGAACACACTTTTGCAGCTCTGGTGGAAGAAGTTTATTCTGCTCAACGGGAACGTGATGAGGCTGTCATGGCAAGGCTTAGGTTAGCCAATGAAGAGAGAGATGAAGCATTTCTGCGAGTCCAGCGTTTAGAAGAGTCTCTCAAAGAGTAAGTATACTTTTCCTGCACCATGTAAAAGGGCTGTTGTGTTACTCTGTGACAGTCATAAGCTGCTGAACAGTGGTTATAGGAAAACTTAGCACATTATTATCCGTGCAATAAAATAGACCAGGGCTAGTCTTACTGTGTTATTGGTTAATTTGTTAGCTGTTTTATAAAGCCATATTTTTCCCTGGAGACTGAGAAAAGGTGAATAATTTTGATCACAAAAATGTAAAATATAATCAAAAGCTTCAGTATTGATTTATTGAGGGAGAAATAAGATGAATGTGACATTTTATAGGGATCTTTTGACACAGAGTACCAGAATGTCAGTCAAAAGTTGCAACATATAGGAAATCAATCAAGCCTTTAAGCCCACTAGACATTGCCTTCAGCAAAATTTCTACTAATTATATGGGTGACACAGTAAAAATATATGGTTTCTTTCCCTATCTTTAGTGTAGGAGCAGTTTGTAAGGTAATAAGGGTACAATTAATAGTTCATAGATTTTTATGTATGCCATCTTAACACAACAGAAATAGGCAATCTTATGTTAAATAGAACTAAGTCAGGAGAAAATTATCAAGAGTGATTTCTTTTTCCCTTGGGATATAGGCAGTTTTGAAGCTACAGTTTGCTTCTCCACAAAATCCTTGCCCATCTGATTTGTGATGATCTTGGTGATCATCTTTGTTAGTCCCACAAAGACTAGAGTGGCTGAGAAATGTCTCTTAGTTTTTTACCAGGAGAAATACAAAGAAACAAGCTTTTCATGGCAGGAGACTGAATAGGTGCCGTTGTTAGTTAACTAAATGGCAGGCAATGTTGCGTTAATTAATTGATTCTACTAAGATCACTCCTCTTTCAGGCTGAAAACCAGTCATCTTCTTTTGGGTATTTTTATAGTTCAGGCTAGAGAATATTGCCTAAATTAATTTCAATAACCTGCCCATAGTTTGTCTACCATTACTCTGTAAAATTTAGAAGTTAATAGAGTAATCTTGTATGTTCCAAGAGTAAAGAAAGTTTTGTATGGTTTCAAACATCACATGATCCTGTATATAAATAGTTAGCATAAACTCAAGATCTTCGATCTTAAAGAACTCAAGTAATGCAGAAAATTCATTATTCCAGTCAACAAACTTGGTCAGTGACTTGGGTTTCTGGCATATTGCTGTTTTTTCTGCAGTGGAATCCACAGACACAAATGGCAGTTCTTGACACACATGAATCCCTCAGAACACCTTCACTTGTTTTCCCTTCAAGCCCTTCTGTCTGCTTCACTCATGTTCTTGAAAACTGACTTAGTTCTAAGCAAAAGTATGAGAAAAGAGAAGAAACTCCATTTCTCAGAAAACATGCATAGTACCTTCCTCAAAAGCGCATCATTGCAGAAGGCACTGGAAACACTGGTAATGCCAAAGTGGTACTTGTTCCCAGGGGAGTCAGTAACTCCCTTGACTGATAGTTTGAAGCCAAGCTATTACATTTTATTGCTATCATTTAGAGAACAGCAATTGTACTAGCTGTCATCCACTTGGGTGTTCTTTCCCATGCTTTATAGAGAGGTCTGATACCCTGATGCCGTTCACAGTCTCAGAACTGGTTTAAGAGATTTCCCTGTGGAGAGCATCAGCTTTCTTTTCTAACTACTACTCTTGATAGTTTCTTCCTTCCTTATGGTGATTGTTCAAAAGGTCAAGTTTCCTGTCTCAGATGTGGAGCACATAGAGGTTTGGAGTTTTTATAAAGAATATTGGCTACTTGTGCCACACTCATCAAGTTTTAGAGCGCAAGTCGCTCTTCCCATGTGTTTTGGACTTACTCCAATCAGAGAACTTTAGAAGAGTGCAATATTGAACAGTCTGCCAGCCTTTATCAAATGCTTTAATTCTTTCTTTAAATTAGCAGCTGGAACAGTTCTATTGTCATTATTTAACTGTAACAACTAAAATCCTTTCAGCCCTGTTGGCCCTAGGGGTTATGTTATCAGAATGTGTTTAGAAGTGGGAGAGGAATCCTTGATTACTGCTGTTTAAAATCATGATGTTTTCATTCATTGTCTATGCACACCACAGAGAGACTGAACAGGGCAAATACACAGCTCTGGTTGCTACTTTTTTTTAAATATTGTCATCTAAGGAGGTGTTTATATACCTACATATAGATCCCTTGTAGCAGTAATATGCTGAAGGTATGCTTATGGCAGAAGTTCATGTTCTTTTTTCCACTCCCATTTCTCCCTAAGGTACCTTGCTTACCCAGCCTGTTGGTTGGCTGGGTGATTTTGTTGACCCACACTTTTAGCAATGTAGAAGTTCTCTGGAGAAGCTGGGTCAGTCCTGCCAATTTACTTTGACAAATACTGTTCTTTTCATTGTGAATACAAACTAGCTGGAGATCCATTTTTAAGTCCCACATGAAGTGGTACTTAGAACAGTGTAAAAACCTAAAGCAGGATCTTAAACAGGATCTTAAAACAGGACCTAAAATAAGGATCCAGCTCTAAGAATTTATTATAATAATAATTAATACTATTATGTTTGTTATTTTATTATTTATATTACTTTATGAATACAAGTCAAACCCAGAAAAGTTAGCTTTTACTTTATTTTCTTTAGTTCTGGTGCTGACTGAATATGCTGGAGTAGGTACTGCTTGTGAATGCCATATAAATATAAAGCTGTTATACACTGATAGTATATTCTGAAATATTTATTTTTAATTTAAAAATTTCTATACTGGTTGATTTACCATGCTTTGTGTACTGTTATCTGCAAAAACTAATGGAAAATGTGGTAGCGTGCTGTCAAATGTTCTATAATGTGTTTTGGCTAAAATCATGGCTTTGGCGCAGTACCTGTCACAGCACTGCTGAAGAGTTGCTGTGTAGAAGATGTTTAATAGGACTATCTGTCTTAAAATATCGTAGGCTACTTTTAGTAGAAGTCACCATTAAGTAGTAGTGGAGTGCTAGGTAACTTTAATATGCTCATTTTTCCAGAAGAGAGATCTCTGTCCATTTAACTAACCTTAGGTAAAATAAAATGTGTATTATCCCATTTATTAGGTTTTTGTGCTATCACTTACTACTTTTACACAGACAGTATTCAATGCTGTATGACTAAATTCCTCGTATCATCTTTGTGTTTGACAGGTCAATATATGTTCTGTTGAAATAGAAAAGGAGGAAAGTGCAGGCTGGTTTGTTCCAGAATTAAATAAGGGCCTTGCAGAGAATTGGCTTAGCTTCCTATTTTATGCAAGATACAAAATGAAAATGTTTTTAAAGTTACTTCAACTGGTTTTGGATTTTTCCATCATTTTGGAAGAGAGAGGTGGAAAAAGAATTATTTAAAAATTAAAAAAACCCTATCAACAAAAGTCATGTTCTGTTTCATTTGGGGTGCAGTAAAAACAACAAAAAAAAACCCAGCATGTAAAAGTTGTAAGCCCAGAAATAAATAAAATAAAAGCATCAGTCATTTCTATCACTGGGGAACTTTTTTCATCTAAGCACATATGAACAATTGATCCTTGTAGTCATATATAGCAGTAAACATTAATAACTTAACAGTCTGAAGTCAGTGCTGAAGATATGGAGCATTATTGAAAGATGGAGTCGAGCAGGTGGCACTTTAATATGTTCAGTGTCATGGTTGACTCTAAAGACTAGTAGAATGAAATTACTTGAGGTTCTAAAGATTTAAAAAGCGAACTCATTTTGCTGCACTAAGGAAATGCTACTGATCAGGCTTTCTGTGTCCCTTTTTTCTAGGCTAGAAAATATTAACCCTGAAGAAAATGACATGGTAAGCCATTCTCTGAGGAGATTTCTTGATGTCAGTCTTATATCTTAGAGGCTTAAGTTCAATTGAGTGGGTTTCAAGAACTAAGATGTGGGAAAAAGAAGAATTGACACACTAATAATGTACATCTTTGCTGCAATATGAAAATTCAATAACTTCACTCAGTCAATTTACAATTCACATGTGCCTATTAATTAAAACCCTATATTAAATAAAATATATTAAAACTTCATGTCTGACTAACATATAATGCTGTTGGTAGACATTACAGGAATTACTGAACAGAATAAACAATGCAGACACAGGGATAGATATACTGAAGAATGGAGCTATAATTCTGAACCGAATACACAGGACCAAAGAACGTAAAAAGAAAATAATAGCTGAGGAAATGAATGCAGTAATAGAGCAACGGGATGCTGCTTTATCTCAAGTAAGTCTCTACAAGTATATAATCACTCAGTAGAAAATTTCTTTTTTTCTTCTTTTTTTCTTGGAGGGGGGCAGGGTTTGGTTTACTTTTGGGAAAAAAAATATTTTGTTTACTTTTCTCTCTTGAAAATCTCAAAGGAGAGCCCTTGTAGTAAATGTCTAATTACTAATCAACTTCTTCTTCATGGGAGTAGTGTCCATTAAAATGGCATCACTGTGTTTCATGAGAAAAGTCGTTTGTATTTTTTGCACTTCATTACTATCTGTCTTCTTTCTAAAACAAAATAGTTTTCAGTGAGTTGACCTGTCTAAAAAGCTATTAAGGGCTTCGTTTTGCAGTATGCTGTATTGGTGAAATGCGTTGGATGACAGGTAACTGGGACAGAAGGATTTATAAAGGGTTATAAGTAGCAAAAATATACATTAAAGGAAGGTAACAGCACCACATGCAACAATGCAAGCAATTCTTCCCTTTGTTGCTTTACACGCAGGAGATAAAAATCAGCATGTGGTCCCTGACTCTCAAAGTCTTACCCATCTACTAGTGACTTGAAAGAATCTGGGTTCTTTTTTCTGCTGAAATCACTCATTGCCTGCAATTTCCTATTTTGACAGAACAGTAATTGTCTTAATTCTCTTCACCATGAAGAGAATTTCCTTGCATTTCTCATCTCATGGAAGAGTTTTTCCGTTGTTTCTTTGGTTTGAGTTTAGGTTTTTTTACCCACCATTTTTTAATGGATTTTTAACTCAATAGAAGTAAGTTGTAGGGAGGAACAGTCCAAGCAGGGAATATATCTCCTGAGAAGAGATCCTGGATGAAGCTTCTTATGCCAGGCAACAAATTTCATCTGACTTCCAGTATTGAAAATTTTGATTTTTAATGTAAGTAACCAAAGTTGGCCCACATGTAAGTAACTTCTACTAGATTTAAAGTCAGGTTTGTGATCTTTAATGATATCAATAATGTTAATTGAATTTATGTTCTATTAAAAAGTCCTCTGATAAAAGTGCCCCCTCTACAAACACTGTAATTTTCATGCTTTTTTTCAGTCATTTTGTTCATTCTCTCCTACTTTAACCTTGAAAGCCCCATCTGCCTGGTGCTTAAAATATTTTGTGTGTCTGTCAAGAGTATGTATTGCAAAAAATCTTAATGTATTACTCGTGGTATTTTACTTTCTGAGTCTATTTTTTAACTTTTATAATAATATTGCTGGAATGTTTCCCAGCACAGCTACTGGGAATCATCCAACAGCCCTTCCAAAAGTTTATGTTCTTTCTTCTTGCACAGGGCATTTCAAAAGTGAGCATCTTGTAACAGGAAAGCTTTCAGCAAAAGAGAAAGATCTCTTGATATTTTTGTTTTCATTATTTCATTTTTGGTTCTTTGTTGAAGTGGACTTTCAGGCACATATGAACCATGAAACTTATGTGAATGTCAGAAGGATTTCATTGTTGGGCATTTTAATACACATTTTAATTTAATTGATTTTAAGCTGCCTGTTTAAGGAGTAATATTTTCCAAGTAATCAGCCTGAAAATTAATAAAGATAATGATTTTGGATAGTAATGGCTCAAATGTCACCACTAGCAAAGCCATCTTTAGCCATATCAGCAAAAAACACAGGTAATATTAAATAGATACTGCAGCTGAAAAAAATGAATTATTAGAGTAATAAATACTCACAAAATGAAGATGTAAATATTTGGTATTAAGCTGTAGTACTATGATAGCACTAGCCATTTATAGCACCACTGTTTTAAATTAATTGTTATTAATAAAACTATCCATCATGTGTTTTCAAATATGTGATGCTTTTACAGCTGTTACTGTTGAATCTAGAAAATAGATCCTTGGAACTGAAGCTACCTTTTCAACCTGTGTTTCTCACTTGATGATTCCTTGGGAATTCGTACCATACTTGAATTATTAGTAGTCTTTTGTTAACATTGCAATAGCAGTAGTTATTACAGGGCTAACAGCAAGAACAATAGGAGAGGGATTCTACATTAGACCACAAAGGGACTAGATATAATTCAGGGGATGTATATGCTTAGCATAGCAAATGCAAATTATTGGAAGTTAGATCTGGGGTTGCCTCAGGCGTTCATAACAATTCAAGTTTAAATCTTTTCCTTTTGTGGAAGTGACATCAAATATGAAGGGGGAAATTGAGAGCAGGTTGAGAAGAAGCAGAAATAGAGTAAACCATTAGCATGCTGTGTCTGTCCTCTGGAAAATGCATTTGTAAAGTTCAGAGGTCACTGGGCAATGGAGGTTGAATGTTTCATGACACATGGTGTTGCTTTGTGTCTGATTGCTGTTGTGTGGTACTGGAGACAGCAACGTCATTTGAGTGACCACCATAGCTGGTTCCATATGATAGAGAACTACCTGCACAATAACAAGACTCTGGACTGACTGTGTTTGGTGAAGCTGCATCTCTTGCTTTTTGCTGTGATTTTCTTCACAATAGCCTGGCATTTGGCAATTAAGCACAGCGAACGGAAGTAGTGTCTAGCTTTTGGGGTTAACTCACAGGATTTCTGATTTTTCTGAGTAAGAAACAATAATGTGAAAACCTTCACAGCTCAAACACATTGCTTTGATTTCAAGGAGGAATAAAGTATATTGATAGAGAATGGGCATTTGATAAATTATGCATTTCCTATGACCAGGTAAATACAGATTACTTCCAACTAGTCTTTTAAATTCAGTTTCATCATGCTTTTTTTGGTAGCTATACTACTGAGCTGCATTTAATTGGACTGCAGTTGCAGCATACTCAATGATTAGCTAGTTGTGATTCTTCTGTTTGGATTTTACTTGAATAATTCTTCTATTCTTCAAAAAAGGAAGAGCACTGTCTGTGTCTTGGAAAGGTCATAAAAATGTTTTTTCTAGCTGTAACATCCAAGTGTATTTTTTGAGATTTCCAGCGTGAGCATTGCTTCTTACTAGGAAGCAGATTGAGGCACTTCTGTCACTGTATTGAGCTGTGCAAGTGGATGTAATCTCAGATCTTTCACTAGATTGCTGAGCAAATATGCAAACTACTTTTTGTATGTGTGAAAACAAATGAAATGGTATAAACTCAAATATTTGATACTACTTTTAGTATGTATTTTCAAGTGAATAATAAACAAACAACTAAAGCATGGCTAAACATTGACATCCATCTTCCCCTGTATCAACCCCCTTAAAAAAACAAACTCAACAGTTTGGTTGTATTTGCTAAGATATGTTTGTTAGTGAACAGATATTGTGTGATACTGAGGATCTTCAGTGTGTTTTATGACTGATTCTCTGAAAGAAATAAAACATCATTTTCTTGTCTGTAACTTTTGGTTTTGTCTTAACCCATTCAAGGAAAAAAATTATTTGTCCAGTTGATCATAATACAGTTTTGCCTTTCTTGAGAAATCTCTCTTGCTTGAGTAATCCAGTTAGTGACAGACACTTAGCAGAGATTCCATATGGCATAGTCACATTATGTGATCCTCATAAAATACCCTAAAGAAGTGATTTCCAGCAGGAGGCAATGCAGTACAGTGTCTCAGCGACCTATTAGCCACATCACACCTTGTGGACAGGAATGTTAATATCATTACAGGGTTGGCAGCTGAAGACTTGAGTAAGTCATTACAATTACTTTTCTTCTGGTTTAGGCAAGAAAGGGGACCTTTTAATTGGTACAGCTTGAAGGAAGTGATTTTTTAAAGCTCATTAAGAGATTAGGAGATTGTGTGTTTGATATGTTTCCAGTCCTAACTAATTCTGTACATGTGGGAGTTTTTTAATTGGTAACCGTCAGTTCTATACAGAGTTTTAAAGATTAAAGATGTATATAATTTGCTGTTAAGGAATAGCAGTGGTTTCATGGCTGGCAAAGTATCACCTCTAGTACACTGATCTTGAAGCAATAGCATAACTGGCAAGCAAACCTGGTTTTACAGCTTTGAATAGTTTGACCACATCCTGCTGTGCAGGAACATGCTTATGACTGTTCATGTAAAAAATTGGCAGGCACCCAGTTGCTCATCTGAAGCAAGTTAAAGAATCCTTCTCCATTTTGAGGCGCTGTTTGGCAGCAGGCAGCACTTTATCATCATTGAAAACAATGACGAGATGCACTATGCTTGACTTCCCATCATTATCAGTTTCGACTAATGACTAATAACTGATAAATGTCTGCACTTACAGCTAGTCAGCTTCTTGCTAGCTTTTCTTTTTTGTTTTTGTTCTGCTAAAGCAACTTTCCTCCTTTTACACCAGGTAAACAAGTGTGTTGCCTGTGATTTACAGAGCATTAAGGCATTCTCAGCACAGGAGTGAACAGGTCTTACTGAGGTGGTAAACCCAAGAGCTGTACAAAATGTAAAACAAGAAATATAAATGAAAAAAATATTTACAGATCCTGGACCCTTAATTGGGGAATACTCAGGGGACAAGTTACAGTGCCTCATGACTCTTAGGACAGAGGTGATACCTTTGCAAACCAAACCACAGTGTGGGATGTTATTTTTTGTACTTTTAATTAGAAGTCTGGTTTTATACTCAGTGTTTTGGTACCCTTTGGCACTTCTTGACTGAGGATGCTAATCAAGTTCTTGGCTGGCAGGAGCATACCTGACAGTATCCTCTTACCTACTCTCTCAAGGTTCTTACCCTACTTTTCCCTTTGCCACTGATATTTGGGAACAGGAAAAGAAGAGGAAGGATTCTGTATTCACAGTTGTTTATGAACCAGGCAGCTGCTGTTGGGTACTGATGATTTTGGTTATGAATTTATTTCAGGAGGAAAGTGAAAGTAAAGGGAATGTTTATTGTACTTTGAGGATCCAAGAACCATGCTTGTTCACTAATGGCTGGTTTTCTTTGGGAAGGCAGCAGCAAGTTGATGTTGTTCTCATTTGCATCCTTTTCTCTGAGAGGTAGCTGATGAATGGGCATGGGGAAATTTCCTTTCCAGCAGGATGGCTGGACAGAGAGAGGAC